ATTTCCTGTAACATTATGAAAATAGTTTTACGTTTGTTTCTTGTGATTGCTAACTTATTAATTATAATGAATATACACCGAACAATGTATAATTCGTATTCTCTGTATATCGTGTATCTATAAGTTGTCACATCTGAATTTCCATATGGAATTCGTGGCATTGCCTCCAATTGGATACGTGCGTCCCTTAAACATAATTTTCAAGTCGTAGAAATACTGCAATGGCTTGAAATATTATTTACTCATATTTCCAATTCTTTGCCCATTGAACATCAGATCCCGGAAAGTTCTATCAAAGACCATGTCCTCTTTCTTTTATACGTAAACAATATGACCTCCTCCATTAGAAACGGAAGAACAGTACTCTTTGCGGATGGTAGGAATATTCTTTGAAAAACAACAACAACAATATAATTACAGGAGTTTAAAATTGATTTCGTAATAACAAATTAAAAGTAGGCAAAGGAAAAAGACGAAGAATTATTTTGTTTATTCCTCCGCATTTTATTTTATTTCAAATAAGCAATTATAAGCTCTCCTAGGCTCAAATTCAGGCTAAGGTCGTGCATTTCAAACATCGCGCGTTCCAGAAATATAAAATTCATAAGTAGATGCGTTCGCTTCCATTTTTGAATCGCGATTATAACATCACTGATCACCGATCGCATCGCGTACGAAGAATTTTCGCATAGTCCCGAGCTGTTGTCATTTGAGTCTCAGTGCAGTATTGAAAATCCTTACCGGCGACGTGAATTGTACTCCAAGAACAACCGCTCCACACAGCGTAGAGATTCGCGGAGAGATTCGGTAAAACTGTGCAAATAATCGAAAACGGTGACCAGGGACAACCAGAAGGAAAGGGAGTGGCTGGGGAAAGTTAAAGCAACCTTAATTAATAAAAATAAATATATTACAACTATTGTATTTCAGCTTCAGAGACAATGACATCTAGCTTGATACGTTTTTTGTCTAGTTTCCCTTGTCAGGAATAATCTTATAACCACCATTTACATACGTCGTGAGATTGGTTACAAAAGTGAAAAATTGAATTGAAAAATATGACCGAATATAAATAATACCTCGTTTACTTTTATATATCTTGCTTTAAAATATCTTGCATCAAGGTATATAATACGCAGACACATCATGTCGACCGCAATGTTGTAAATGGGAATGCTTATATACGAATTATGAAACAATATTGATCTTAACTTTATCTTCACTATTCCGTTAATCTATCACGAGAAACGCGCGTTGTATCTGTGTTTTGGCACATCGTCACGTGAATCTCGAAAATCCAACACATGTGGGAAATGTTCGTTCATCAATGAGACTGTATCACATGAGATTGTAAAATTAGCCTTTCTCTCAGTTCAAAGAATAAGCTGGGGTCGGATGGGGAAGGGAGAATTAAACTATTCATGATACAGAAGGCTGCTTCGGTGTTTGCCTGGAAGTATGTAGGTAAACTACTGATTTGATATTTTTTCAAAAGCATATTTATGAATGTTCATCATCAACAAATAAAATAAATTTTGCAATAGCTATGTATTTTACTTTCCGAAACCATGTATAATCTTCATGGCTAAAAGAATTTTACAACCATCCAGAACTAAGTTGCTTAACATTCAGCGCACCTTTGAATATCTCTCAATCTCTCCGCCTTGGACGCACATTCATCTTACAATCCAACCGCTTCTTTCCAAAACTTACCGCGACTTCGACAGCGTCCGTATCGACCGAGAATTCTGTCGAAAGAGTTAAAACGAAAAACGTTCTACATCTTACTACCCACTAGCACATCGGGAGAGTTTCTCTTGTCAGAGAGGCGGCAGAGGAAACAAGAAAAACAATTTTGCGGCGGTCGGCCGGGTGCACTACTTGCATCTCCGGAGACCCGCAGGGTCTTCGTCGAGGCCCGAGCTCCAGTCTGCAAACGAAGGGCTCCTTTCAGCCAGACGACTCGTGCTCGTCTGCTCGCTCGTCTTTGTGCAATCAGCGAAGTGCGATTATTTCATTTAACAGCACGCCGCCCCGCCCCCTCCCTCGTCACGTCGCCTTGGGGAGGAACGGACGGAGGGTGGAGAGTTAATTATATATTTATTCTCTGGTAGAAATAGAAAACTTGGCGCTGGGTTCCGCGCTGCCGACATCCCCGCCGCCGCCAAGTTTACAACTACGAACAAACACAAATGCTCGCTTGCGCTAATTATCGCTCGTGCTCGCGAGTGTTTTGCCTCGGTACACGCCGGAGCACAGCGGGGAGTTTGTGGGCGGAGGAGGACTTCAGACAGAAATCCTTACCCGTCTCTTCCGTCGGTTGCTCCTTGCCTTCCGGCCGAGAGTTTCGGGGTGATAGAATTTGACTAGTTACTACGCGTTCCCGGACTGTGTGGAGCTTTCGAATTGCGGATTCTGAACCTACTTCTTTTGTTGTTTGAATTGTATGAAAATTTTCAAGTTAAGACAAGGCTATAATTGTTTTGTCAATTTTAAAGCAATTTCAATTTTGGCGTAGTGTAAATTACCTTTAATGATCATGGATTCAATAATCTCACAATTCCATTTGACTATAATATCATTTATTAACTTCAAGGATAAGATATATAATATAATTTATTATATTTTTCATTTTTATGCTGTTAAATCGTAATTATTACGTAATTTTAATAACCAGAAACTGAAAATGGAAAGTGACCGTTATGTATAAAGGAATTTAACCTAGATTTATTTTTATCAAAATTTACCAGTATTACAAAAACAATATTATGATGACTTTGCAAGAATTAAACTACTGCAAGGAAAATGCCCTCTCTTTTAATAATTGCTTTAACTGCCTGAAAAAGAGTGAATTAGTCATCTGGCTGTGATCTAAAAAAAGAAAGAAGTGGTTTCCCCTCTTCTTCAGTTGGAATCTAACAAGCGAATTTTGCAATCAGATGTTACTTTGGTTTAGATTACTACAACGCACGCATCCACTTCGCAGCATTCCAAACACATTTCTCTTTCCGGCGTACCTGCTCCTCTAACAGTCTGTAGATACTGTCAAGATTTTTTTTCAGTTAGACACAGCTGAGAAACTAGTAGATCGGGACGAGAATTGCATATATGAAATATATGCAGGGGAAATCCATTATCAACAATAAATGTTTTCTCAGTGTCTATTCCAAACTATTAGATTTTATGGACAACAGTGGCAACAGCACTACTTGTTTCGTGATAAAAAAGTCCGCTTTACCTACTCCAATCTTTGCAATAAATGTATCTCTCGAAAATTGTGTGCACGATACTGGTTAAAATTATTATTTTCAAGTAATGTGAATATTACTGCCAATTACTAGAGTCAGAGTTACAACCTCGTCAGTAATTGATGTAAACTTCATAGTCCAGTAAGATGGTGCCAGTATCTGCTTCTGGACGTAACGTCAGGCTATAAATTGGTTTGATTTTGTAAAATCATATTATCATTACTTTAAAAAATAGTGTATTCTAAAGTCAAAGAAAATATTTGAAAATCAATTGTTGAAATTGTCCAATTATCGATTCGTTTAATTTTATTTTTCATCTAAATTTGTAGTAAACTGTTTATGTATTTTTCTGCTGGCGGATAACAATTTCAATTAAAACCATCCGCCCCTTTTTTTTTATTTTTGCAAGAATCTGACAACTTTCAACGCATCATTGATCTTCATTGCCAAAAGGGATCATTCTCTGATAACTAATGTATTAACAACTCACAATTTCGCAAAATGTATTTTTATTTCAATGTAAGGCCTTTTCAATGTTATACATAATTTTGTTAAATTAGATTAAATACTTCAATTGTTTTATAAATACAATATTCATAGTAGACAACTTCATTACTGATACAAAAGTGCATTTTCTTTATCAGTATACGCCTTTAGTCGTCTTTCCATTCTAAAGTTGCACATGTGAAGCTTTGTGCTTTCGCGGAAATAGAACAATCTTAAGAGATCAGAAACAGTAAAGTGGTACCATGTTGTTTTCGATCAATAACCATGTTGTTTTCATTGCCACAAGTTGTGTATAAAGTAAAAAGCAAGGTAATTGTAGTTGCCTCGCTTTGAATGGCAGGGAGAGAAAGGAGGAGGGAAGAAGGGTTTGAAAAGGGGAGCGGGGGGGGGGAGTTCACTTGGCGCGCCGCTGGCGCAGGTGGTCGGCGATGGCGTCGATGAAGTCCTCGGTGGTGAGGAACATGTCGCTCTTGAGCGCGTCGCCGTGCACGCGGCGCGCCAGGTCCTCCGTCATCTTGCCCGAGTCCACGCACTCCACGCACGCCTCCTCCAGGTGCTGCGCGAACGCCGCCAGGGCCGGCGCGTCGTCCAGCACGGCGCGGTGGCCCAGCGCGCGCGTCCACGCGAAGATGGACGCGATGGGGTTGGTGGACGTGGGCTCACCCTGCTGGTGCTTCCTGTGGGCACACAGCCTACGCCTTAACCTTCCGAGCGGATGGCATGTTACATCCAGGAAGGAGGCTTCACTGATTGATTAGTGATTTGGAGGCGCGTCCACTTACAGGTCATCATTCCTGTAAGTGTAGTGCATGTTTTATCGTGGGGGGGGTGGCGGTGATATTCCCTCGCAGGATGGGGACATCCGTTACTGACCTACACGTCCGTTTGCGAGGTTTTCCCCAATCGGGTATCTCCCACCCCATTTCCCCAATCGGGCACCGCGCCAGCAGGGACAAGCTCCAAGCTCCAGACCGGTCTCCTGGCATGTGTGGTAGTGTAGTGCATATAAGTGTAAGAGTGTGTAAGTTAGAGTAGAGGATAGGGCAAGGAAGAGGGCCCAAAGGTCGCGCGCCGTTTGTTAAGGTATTTCTCCGGCATTTGCCTGCTGGTTGTCGGAGAATCCACCAAAAACCTTCCGATCATAGCAGCAGCCAAGCATGAGCAAGAATTGTCCTCCAGTCAGCGCAAGCTGTGTAGCGATAGAGGCGTGGCTTGCCTGTAGTGCCTGGTGACGGTGCCGTGGGCGGCCTCGGCCTCGATGGTCCTGCCGTCGGGGCAGACGAGCACGGAGGTCATGAGGCCCAGCGAGCCGTAGGCCTGCGCCACCACGTCCGACTGCACGTCGCCGTCGTAGTTCTTGCATGCCCACACGAAGCCCCCGCTCGACTTGAGCGCCTGCGCCACCATGTCGTCGATGAGCCGGTGCTCGAACCTGCCCGGCACGCGCCCGCATTGGTTCTCCAACAGTTGCCTCCCAAAGAAGCTGGCTCTACTGCACTACGCGCAAACGATGCATCAACAATGTATCTCCTAATAGAGGTCTCTGAACAAATTTTATTGATAAATTAACAATACCTAATCCTAGTTTTTATAATTCTAATTTATCCCACGAGAGGTAAAAGTGGCATTTTATTTTGAGGGCATGAAATGTTGCAACTTCAGGACGATTGGCCGAGCGGCGCAATTCTAGAAGTAAAATCAAATCACTTTTACGTGTGTAAAAGCGTGTGTATAGCCTATTTTGTAGGCAATATTACTGGCTGTCATTTTATTTTTATTCAAGTGCACAAATCACTACACGGTTCATTAAGGTCAGTAGGCTAGTAACTGATGCAGTCAGATGATATTTTTTCTTTGTAGCATCACACATTTATTTGAACATTTGAACATCGCCTCACTTTTATCGCTAGAGCTAAAATTTAACTTTTAGCACCCTACGCATGTCCTGAAAGAACCGGTTTTACTAGTGTCTGTCCAAAAAGATATATTAATTTGTGTGTGTGTGTGTGTCAGTATTAAATTCGACTACAATGTTATGTAATGAATGCGCTGAACCAAAACTACTTAATGTTGTTAGAACACTACTAGATGTTCTTAAGATTAACATTTCTTACGCCAGTTTCATTCACAGTCTCAAATATCTACGTAGTACGTACAATCCATTTCATCTCCGGGACATTGGATATGCTTTGTATGCATGCATTCTTCTGCCCTTGAAAAAATATTTCATTACGAAAAAATATCTTTCTTCAACATGCTATTTGTAGGAAAAACCGAAAATTTCTTGAACTGTTGCAAGTTTTGAAAATTCAGTGTTCGACAAATATGGGATCTGCGCCATTTTTACATGCGTACTTTTCTGTGAGGAAACAATTAAAGTAAAAATGGAGCTTTTTCCGAGAATTTTTTAAGGCTTAATACAACGTACTGGAAATGTATTTATTTCAAAATCCCAGGGTCTGGTATTAAGCCAAATCGATGGGGGAATATCAATTTTGATGAAAATATTTTGAAGGGTTTAGGTGTTAGCGTTACGGACGGGCAGACTGAAAGGCAGAATATTGCCAGTTTTTCAGTATCAAGGAACCACAAAACGTGTATTTTGAAAGACGTCTTTGAGGAAGTAATTTAGTACATGTGGAAGCAAGTTTGACCAATCAAGACGAGAGCGTAGGCTTCCACTGCCGGAGTCATTAACTACCTGTCTGTCCGATAGATGCCACGTCGAAGGCACACGAGCCAATGTTTCGGCCACCATTCTGCGACCTTTTTCATTTCGCCCTGAGAAAGGTCACAGAACGGCGACCGAAACCTGTGCCCGTTCAGCCAAGTAGTTATTATCCACAAGACGAGATGGTGCCAATGCAAGTGGCCTGCGCAACGCAAGTAGCGCGTACCGTAAGCCCGCGTCCTCGAAGTCCTTGCGGTACTCCGATTCGTAGACCTCGTGGAAGATGTCCTTGAAGCGTCCGTCGTAGTTCTTGAGGATGGTGTTCTTGGTGGAGAGGAAGAGCGGCCAGCGCTTCTGCAGGGCGTAGGCGAAGCAGCAGTGCGCGAAGTTGCGGATGGAGCTGTCCGTGTTGTACATGCCCAGCGCCACGCCGCGCTCCGGGAACGAGAAGAGCTCCGTGCGGTGCTCGGGCCCGCCCTCCTGCGGCACGACACGTCACACCTGCTTAACATACACCTTCGCAATGTTCTACAAGTCGATTTTTCCACTATGTGGGATATGAGCCAAAATCTTTAGCTGCTTTGGTTTTAATTTTTTTTCTCACGAGAGCGAATGTTTTCTTAACAAGTCTTGCCAAAAACGCTCATTGCTACCTTTATTCATTATATTCAACTTACAGGGTGTTAAAAAAGGAATTTTAGAGCTCAAGAAAATATAGAGTATTAATAATTTGATAGATTTTAATAGTTTTTTGACGTTAAATAATAATAAATAAATAAACCCTCACAGAACCGCATCGGGCAAGCCTCTTTGCGGACGATATGAATATTCTTTGCAATAAAGAAACCATAAATAGTACAATATCAGATACTTCAAATTGGTTTTGTAATAACAAATTAATAGTAAATGAAAAGAAAACTGTTTCAATGGAGTTCTCCATTTCAAATAAACAGCTCGACTCTTCACTGAAAATGAACGGCGTGCCATTGATTGATGTTAAAGTAACAAAGTTTTAGGTCTTTCAATTCAGTCAAACCTTAAATAGAACGTCCATTTGAATGAATTGAACACTAAATTAAGTTCTTAATGATATCATTTCAGAATTCTTTCAAATTCAGTCAGCCTCCACACAGATCGTTGTGTATATTTCGCGAATGTTCATTCCCGCCTGAGATATGGTATAATATTATGGAGAAATACATCTTATAGATTCCAGACAATTAGATTACAAAAACGAATTGTACGAATAATAAGCAAATCCCACCCACGTGATTCTTGTAAGCCTCTCTTTATTCATCTAGGTATTTTACCATTACCTTGTCTCTTAATATGTGAATCAGTAGTTTTTGTCACAAATGACTTACTTAAGGGAGGGAATATATTTTCAGGAAATGCCGTTTTCTATAACTACAACACACGACGTAGTAATTACATTCTTCAGGTAACAGTATCAACAGCTCACTACAAAATATTTACATATAATACTTGTACATTATTTTACTACACCTTGCCAGATGACATTAAACGATTAAATTCGATACAAAAATGTAAGTCCCAAGTAAAATCTTTTCTACTGCACAACTGTTTCTATACAATTAGAGGAAAGTAATATTAATTTTTAAAATGACATTTAATGATTTATATATCATTTGGATTGTATAATTGTAAAGAACCTGTAATAAGTATTGTACATCAGCTCCTGGGTCAATGAGCCCCATCTCGATCAGGTTTTCGTCCAGTTTCTCTGATTCTCGAGCAAATGCTGAAATGGCTCCTTGTTTTGCTTCTGGACATAAATGTAACTTCAAATTAACTTCTCCCCATAGCACGTCATACACAGTTTTTGACTGTTTTAACGTAAATAAATAAATAAAAAGTGGCTAATTCAAAGGGGGGCCTGGTTCCCCCATCCCAAGCGTAGTTTTTCGCGATTAATTGATTGATTGATTAGTGATTCCGGGCGCATCAACGTCTAAGGTCATTAGTCCCGAAAGTGTAGTGTATTTTTATCGCGGTAGGTGTCGGCGATCTTGCCCTTCTAGATGGCGAGACCCGGCGCCGACCTACTTCAGCTTACAGGGTTTTCCCCCAACCAGATATCTCCCACCAGTTGAATACCGCACCAGTTGGGACAAGCTATAAACTCCCGACTGCTCTCCCATGAGTGGAAGTGTAGTGCTTGTAAGTGCACGTATGTGTAAGTAAGAGGTAGGGATAGAACATGGAAGAAAGTGTAAGGAAAGATCGCGCGCGGTCCGTTGCCCGTTTCTTGGGGTAATGCTCCGGCATTCGCTTTGGTGTTGATCGCACAAACCACGAAAAACTGTCGATTAGAGCAGCTTGTCGCTACGATTCATCTCCAGACAGCGGCTGAATTCGACCTTGTTGATAAGCTAGTGTCGAAAATCCTGCCACGATTGAGACACGAATCCTAGGACCTTCAGAAGTATTGCTGTGACATCAGTTGATGCCCTGATCCACATTTGCCTTCAAAATAATTACCGTTTCTCATCTCATGAAACAGTATTCTCCCAATGAAAACAAAATCCGCTACCCCCACCCTGCAATACTTTCTGGAACCATCACTGGGAGTAAGCGATGTATTCAGAGTATTTACGTACATGAACACATCCACAATGATACATATTCTTTTATATATGAATAAAATTAAAAGTTAATAATAATACGAGCAGCTACCAGCAGCTCGAGTTATCAAAGCAACAATCCACGTAAGGTTAGTTGGCTTGCGGCAACGCAGAAATTCTAATAATGCTTTCAACCAAATGCAAATGAATAGAAAACTATATTATTATCACTATTAATACTATTAATAAAAATAATAAAAATAATAATAATAATAATAATAATAATAATCATCATCATAATAACAAATACAATGTTGAAATGTTATTTAAAGCTGCTCGTTTAAAATGAAGTACCCTGTATTCTTCTCCAACATTCTTCACTGACAGCTTCAGTTTCTCTGGCTTCCATAAGTTTGATCATTTCATCTAATGTTAGAGAATGTCAGAGTTTTATGGTTTTCGTATTTTTAAACTGATTGTGAAACTCTAAATACATACCACCTCACAGCCTAATGGTTGAAATTGGACTGTTTGCTGACTCTTTAAATTCATAAATATTTCTCAAACGTCATAGATATTCGACAGATAAACGTTCATTTTATTAACTTCCAGATATTAACATTTAATGTAAATCAAAATATGTTAATAAAAGTGATAACACTTCTAGAGCACACTACCTTTTCATTTCAAGAAAAAAACCCAAATACTTGTCTCTCACACGTCATATTACACTTTATTACTGTTTTTGACCAAAATAAAATCTAAAGGAAACCCCTCATTCTTTTAAATATATAGAAGTAATCCAATACCGAGCTCTAAACGCTAAACAACCAATACTTCACTTTGCCCTCCAAGTCAGCTGCAGCATCCGAAACTAATCTTCTAAAACTTCAAAGCTTTCATTTACAAATTCCTAAGAACATCAAAGCCGTACAAACTTTATTCGTATCAGTTGGTCTCAACCTTTTCACTTCCAATTATACTCTTTTGAATGTAGTTTTCACCCATCGCAAATAAAAATTTTATTTTTCTCAATATGTGCATGGCATATGTGCTCTGAATCAATTATTCTAATTCTGCTGCTCTGATTTTTTGTTTCCTTAGGTACTGTATGATTTTGATTTTACTGAAAAAAATAACAGTTTGCTCGATAGTCCAGATCAAGAGAAATCGAATAACTCTCAAAATTGCGAAATTATAAATTATCTAGAATCGGAAGCTAGAACACATTTAGAACAACGTTGTCGATAAATTACAGAAATCATCTTTGTCGTAATGAAATTGTCCTAAAGTCGAGAATAAGGACTGAATTTGAAATTGCCGCAGGAAATGGTTTCTGTTGCAAACTGTTTGAATGGAGTTTTTGGATTGGTTCCTTCCTAAAGATAAAAACAACATCAAAGTTCATTGTCTGCGTCCGAAATCAAACCCGTGACTGAGAGTACGAGAGTATAGAGATAAGTTATCTAAGATCATCGACATCGCAATTTGCAGTGGTCTGCATTAGATATATGATAAGCGCAGCTGCGACAGATAACATATCTAGATTGAGGAGAGTTCCTGGAACGATCGAGTAGTGCTTGCAATACTGACGTTGTTTTCCTCTCCGGTGCGGCGAGGATAAGCCCTCCCTAAAACGTATTTCCTGACAAAGAAACATGCATCGATTTCTGGAACATTAAGCACACTTTCTCACCTTTGATATTCCTTGTAGAGAAGGACAAGAGTATTTAATTTTAGCCATCGAAAGAAAAGATCGAATTGTCAACTTTCACAAAAGTCTGATTTTGCTAGAATTGTAAAATAATTATTGAGAGGTTAAATACTTAAATGGTTATACATAAATATCATTAAGAGAATAAATTTGAAGTTTGAACAACAGACCTTCTTAGTTATAATGAAATGCATTATTATTATTATTATTATTATTATTATTATTATTATTATATTTATAATAATAATTATTATTATTATTATTAATATTTTTAGAGCTCTCTACATTAACAATTTTCAGATTTTCCATTTCGGGGCTCCACTATTTTTGAGCAGTAAAAAGGGGGCTAAACTATTTTTGAGGCCCCCTTTTTACTGCTAACAATAATATTTTTGAGATTGGAGATTTTAACCTTTTTATTTAGAATTAAATAAATGACTAAAACAGGCCTTCAAATTTTTTTCACACGTTTAATTTAAAAAACGATTACAATTATCTAAACATAAAATTATACTAATTATAAATGTACATATTTTTATTACAATGTTTAGGAAATTTGCCATTTTGTTTAATCATTTTTGAGACCCCCTTGCGCTCTGAGGATCCAAGCTTTGTAGCTTATTTAGCTTAACGGTAAATCCGACACTAGCTATTTTCCTAGGAGTGTACTCCCGACTAATTGTGTGCCACCAACACAGACAGATGCCCTCCTCAACACAAGACTCCAACGACAGTGAGCACACATTACCAAGGGATAATTGTTATCTGTGACCTTAGAGCTCTTGATTGGTGCACGCAAGTACCTCAGGTATTTAAGTTGACAAAATATAAATTGAATATCATATAATTTTCTATCCATGGACGTATTTTTTTTCTAGAGCACGTTTCTTGCTAATTATTTCCAAGTGTTCACTCTCCCATTCCCAGAAGTGTAATACGCTATAAGGAAAGGACGATGTAAAGATAGTGTCCAAAATCATTAGCACATGCTAGCAAATTTAAACTTTTTATTTTGATCTCACATTTTTATACGTAAATTTAGACGCTACCAATGCTCTTTAGTACGTTTTTTTTAGTAATGATAGACTCTTTTTCAGCAAGATTGGATCAGAGTGTATTGTAAACGATTAACAAAAGAAAAGAGAAGCTACTACGAAGATAAATGCAGCTACGAAGCAGCCACGAAGGTAAATGGAATGCGCATTGTGGTGATGCACAGGACAAGAAGTATTCCCAGGCATCGTACCTTCTCCTCTCCTGGTAAAGAGGGATACAAATGGTGCTTTGCCTTGAACTGCATGAAAGATGGAAAGGTGACCAAAGATTGGCTTATGGGACTCACGGCGAAAGCCTTGGTGCCGTGCCGGAGTGCACCGCTGACATTGGAGACGTTGCGGCCTGCAGTCTTCAGACTGGAGAGAGGCGGTGAGTAGGCCATGGTGATGAGTACACTCCAAGGTCTCGGGGTCAAGGCAAGTGAGAGGACTTACACATAGACTTCCTTTGTTCTCGGACTGTAATCGCGCTGGCGGTTAGTCTTTCGTCTTCTGCTGCATGAAGGATCATGTAGGTAATCATGAATAAGTGTTTAGGAATAAGTGTCAAACAAGGCTCGTCACTACTACGTGATACAAACTACCCGTGCCTTACATAGGAACCTGCAGTCTTTGGCTGCGCGAGCATGGGCACTTCTTAACCCACCGGGGAGGGTAATGCTAGACGCTCTAATTATCTTAAGTAATTTCCTATTGCAGTAAGAAACTTTCAACCCCTCGTCAAGTGATTGTGATTATTTTACCCTGTACACAAAGAGTTGCCAGAGGCGCCTCAAGACATAAATATCAGGTGGCACTAAGAGATAAAATAAGATGTGAAGAAATCCGAAACAAAACGATATTCAAGATATTGCTGACAGTGTCTACAAACACAAATGGCGACGGAGATGGCTATTTTTTCCGATAAGATCCTATCAGGTACTCGATGCTACGTTCTGCGACAAGAGGAGCGATTGAAGAATGCAAGGATGGCAACACAATTGGTTTAATGTATTCAGGGAGAATGCGGGTCTAGCATGGTCTCGAATGTTCAAAGATGCAATAATTAAACCACAAAAATTATGCTAATTTTTGTATACATTTCAGTTGAACGTAGCGTTCAAGATTGATACATACTGTGCTTTTCCAAAACTATACAACTTATATCCTGATAGCAAACTTACTTTCTGAAACTATGTATTGTAAATGTAACTGTTTTGCAAGAGTATTTTCTTGAAAGTAATTATGGGTTTACTAACTTACCTCTCTACTTCAAAGGGAGGCCTTAGCCCTTAAGGAATCTGATAATTAAATACAAAACCTAGAGAGTTCATCGGCCACTCTAGAACAAACCATACAAAGGAGAACTTCGTGTAAGTTAGTGGCGGTACGTGGTGGAGGAAGTAAAAAAATATTGCGTTTTAAATAATTCAGACAATTTACCATTATTGTATTTTTCACTTTTATACCACAAATATTTGGCGAATACTGAAATCTCCATCAACGATTAAAACTTTGCCTTACTTTGAACCTTGCCACAAACTCTTAGAATTTATATTTCATTAAACAAGGCATTTTGTTTCTGCATTCTGCTCGAAATCGAAACATCACAGAGCAGTATTGACTCCACGACAAAGTAGTATTAACAGCAGAGAGCAAAGAATTTGTGATAAGCACCATCATCCAATAAGTTGTACCAGCTAATGGCAGCACTGTCGCATTTCATGAAGAAAAGGGATATAGTTGATCTATGGATTTTGACGGTTGTTAGGCAAAATAGTTTAGGTAGTATGACATTTATTTACAAAATAATGAATTGTTATGATATCGTGGTCTCGAAAAAGATCAACAAAGTGCAGTATCCTTCATTTCTAATACGTTTACGTTGCATGTAAAAGTAGTTGTCCCTTATAACAAAAATTTAACATTTCGACCTTTCTTGTAAACTTCACCTGGACAGTTTTTCTTACTTCAAAAAGAGGAAAAGAGGGCATATGGTAACCCTAGTTCGGAGCCATTACCTAGCTGTTTCTATACAATTACAGACTATACTGATTATCAGAAAGAAAAATAATGTTTATTTTAAGAAAACAGTAATATATATTCAATTAGTTTACATTTGTAGTGTACTTTTCTTTTAAAAAGACTTATATCGTTTGTAACAAACAATGTACTTCACGTTCCGGGTAAATTACCCCCATCCCGATCAGGGTTTTGTCCAGTTTCCCTGATCCATTGAGCAAATGCTGAGTTGGCCCCTTGTTTTCCTTCTGGACGTAAATGTAGCTTCACTATGCGCACGTTTTGTTGAACTATCCTTTTACTTGTAATGGTAGGAGTAGAGGTAAGGGAGAGTTACTATTTTATTAGCAATGCAGAAAAATCATACCTGCAATTCGTGTACCGATGCAAATATGTTTTCTACAACTCGGGAACGACAGTGTCTATTTTTTACTAATTACGAGCTTAAAATGTATTTTTATTTATTTATTTACTTACAGTTACAATGATGGGAAGGGATTCTGGAACTCAAGAAAACGTGCGTAGATTATCTTCTCCCCCATACGTCACATACAGATTTTTTACTAAATATATCTAAATCTACCTATGACTTGATAACCCAGGTGACACAAGTAAATATTAAAAATATTAAAATATTACCTTGGGTGCGTACACGAGCTCCACCTTGCTGGCGGCCGGGATGTCGAGGTCGGCCGCCGTGTACTGGTCGCCTTCGGCGTGGCGGCCGATGACGATGGGCTGCGTCCAGTTGGGCACCAGGCAAGGGACGGTCTGGCACACGATGGGCTCGCGGAACACCGTGCCGCCCAGCAGGTTCCTGCGCGCACGCCCACCAAACGGCCAGTCACAGGGTAAATGAAGTCTCTTAAGCTCTTTAAAACCCTTATTTTCACTTTCATGACTTTTATGTTTTTTTTACTATTATTTGCATACGACTGATTTTGCTCCTCAGAAAATGCCTTCTAAAACTATTGTAAATAGATAATTGCGGACTGGAATGCACAGCACACCAAAACCTGTCCTCCTCTTAGGAAAGGTTATTTAAGAATCTATCTACTACGTATGTTCCATTCACATGATCACTGCTATTACTTGTCTTATATATTTAAGAAGGTTGTAGAAAAAGTCACTATTGAAGAACACATTGCATTACTAAAGACATCTCAGGCTTTAATATTGAAGATGTAGAACAGATACAAAAATTGTATCGTAGGCTTTCACGGCCGGAGTCAATAGAAGGTAGATTTTCCGGGCTGGTAGGCCGTGGTCCAGTTGGCACCATGTCAACTGGACCACGGCCTACCAGCCCGGAAAATCTACCTTCTAGATACAAAAATCATTAAACATTTGCAATTTTCTAAATTTCGGAGGTTAAAATGTATGCTAAAAAAGTAATTCAAGGTCATATATCTGTATACATCTGTAGTATAAAATGTGCGCAGACATTTTAATACTTACTACTTTAAGATATACACTAATTTATTGAATACAGTGAATCGAACTTAACGCAACTCTGAGACATGAAACATTAAATATTATTTTAAAACTTCAATGACAAACAATCATGTCATTTAGAATGATATCTCGCGCTTCATATAATAACTGAACTATTTTATCATTCGTAACTTGTTTCGTACTTCGTATCATTCGTAACTTCACCCAAAGCGTTGCTTTGGGTGATGGAAGGTGGAAGCAAAAGCTTCCATCGCAATGTATATCTGTTGGGCGCAGACAAATCCCCAAGCTTCTTTGACTTTTGTGCCGGCATTACCTATCGCCATATGTTTGTCAAATCCTTTCATGTGTGTTAATTTATTAATTTAAATACTCTTTGCACTTAAGTTTACACGTAAAAACTTTCGGAAAATCCGTTTTAAATAACACTCAAAATTACAATGTGATATTGTAATAAGTTGTAACAACAATAGTTATTTATGATACAAGGGAAAATACGAGGGGAATTTTATTTTGCATGTAGGAAATGTTGAGATAGCAGGTCAACAGGCCGAGTGGCGCAATCCTACGGGCAAAATAAAATATTTTTCTACGTGCGTCATACATATTTTTGACAACCTTACTGACATTCATTTCATTTTAATTCAATTACATCGTTTCATTAAGGTCAGTAGTAACTGATGCAAACAGACGAAAGTACCTTGATCACTTTCTTGCATTCACAGTTTTAATTGAGCATCATGTCGTTTGTAACCAAATTTTAATGTATCAAATCGAATTTCTTTTGTATCACCCAACGAAGTCTTTTAATGTAATAAAAAAATACCTAACAATAAAATACCAGGCTACGACAGAAATGCAGCAAATATCTTAAAAAACTGCCCAGACAACGTATTTCTTACCCAAACAATACATTTAACTCTGCATTGAGACAAGGATATTATCCTAATTCTTGGAAACACTCTGTAATTATACCTCTTTCGATGCCTGAAAACTATTTAAATCTTCCTTCAAATTATAGACCAAATAGTTTACTTCCAATTTTGTCAAAAATGTTCGAATAACTTTTATTAAAAAGACTAAAGCATTCATTGTCATAACAACGAGCTTCCTTCTTTCCAGTTTGGCTTTTGAGAAAACCACTCAACAACTCGTTAGTTTCTAAGATTAACCCAACAAATTCACTTTTCATTTCAATCTGATTTTCACCTACTTGCAATTTTTGTAGATCGCGCCCAGGCGTTTGATCGAGCGTGGCATGATGGATTAAAATTCAAATTAAGGAAAATTTGGATACCATTATATCTCTATAGGGCTATATCAAGTTTTCATAGCACATTCTCTCTGTCTTAACTCTTTCGTTTGGGATTTTGCTTTTGGGATTAACTTGGGATTTTGCAGGTATTCCACAAGGATCTCCATTATCTGCTTTGTTACTTAATTTGTAGGTCGTAGATATTTCTTCCAGTAATACAGTTAACACAGCTGTCTTTGCAGATGATACTTTACTCTTTTATGCAAACCGAAACTTAAATATAGAATGTCGTGTAATTCAAGATAACCTAAGAACACACAAAATTGGTCAAAATGATGGAAAATCAAAATTAACTCCAATAAATCAACAGACAAAGAATTTTCTTTCAAGAATCCTATCTTTCCTCGTCCCTTATCTCTGGACTTCTCTATCCCTCCCTGGTCACCTCTAAATTCATCTACTCGTTTTCCCGGAATACTCATCAAAAGATTAAATTTGCACAGTCACATATCGTCCAAAGCAATTGAAGCCAATAGACAGTTAGCTATTTTACGTCCGATTCTTAACCGCAACTCCTCTTTTAAAATCCATTCTTCTTATCTAAATCCGTTTTCACCGCAGCATTACAATACTTTCTCCAAACTGTGTAAGTAGCAAGCGAGAAAGAAGAAATTTCATATTATACATTTTTAATAGTATGAGTACTTTGACAAAGCATATTTTTACAGTAGCTCAAAAATGAATTTTGAGATTATTCCTTTCTTTTTTTTTTTTGTTTTCGAGCATGTCAACAGTTAAAGACATTGGTATCGTAAGCGTAGTACATGGTAATGGGGAAGGTGACAGTGTTCCACCCTCGGAGGAACGTGATACTCGGCGCCAACATACACTTTCGGTTTGCACCTAAACTACGCCTAAACACCGCGCGTTCCGTGACTCGTTTGCTAGAGTACTGCTCCGGCATTGTGTATTGATTGCAGAAATCACGGCAGAGAGCAACCGACCGCTAGAAGTGTCGCACCTGATGGTGGCGTTGGGCGAGGGCCACGTCTTCTTGAGGTTGAACTCGACGGCGCGCGCGTCGTCGGGCGTGATGGTGGAGCACTTGACGCCCACGTTGTGCTTGAGCACGGCCAGCGCCGCGTCCCACGTGACGCGGTCGTCGGTGGCGTCGCGGTTCTGCAGCCCCAGGTCGAAGTACACCAGCTCCACCTTCACGTGCGGCAGGATCAGCTTCTCCTTGATGCGCCCCCACATGACGCGCGCCATCTCGTCCCCGTCCATGTCCACCATGGCGCCCTTCGCCTGCGGGCCGATCATCATTCGCTCATTATTCCGAACGCGTCAACGGCTGAAGTCATTATCCCCGTAAGTGTAGTGCATGTTTTCCCAGCGTGATAGCGGTGTTTTTCCACGGCTGGATGGTGGGATCCGGTGCCAGCTTGCACGCAAGCTAGCAGGATTTTCCCCATCCAGGAATATCCCAACAGCGGGGCACCGCCCTAGCCAGGACAAGCTCTAAGCTCCCGGCATGTTTGGTAGGGTAGTGCATGAAGGTGTAAGCTATTGGACTAAGACATATTTAAAAAAGCATATCAATTATCACTATGGTTTATTTTTCGGTTCTGTATTATCGAAATTTTTAATTCTGTTTGATTAAAAACACGCATACATTTTTTAGTTGTTTTTTTCCTCCGAATATCTTAGTGGAATTTAGACTTTCAGAATATCGTATGTAATTGAACTCTTTTGCAATATGGAGATTTTTGGTAAAGGAATTGTATTACTTTTTTTGACAAAATTTGGTTCGATCATTTCCGAAAACTCACAGTTTATGGTTCCCATGTACCAAAACATTACAGATATTTGAAGAACCACAATCAAAGATACTTTGAAGCTCAAATCTCAACAGATGTATTAAATAATTAAGTACATCTATAAAATAAGGTTTAACAACCTGAAAGATATTTCAAAAAAATACATTTGCGTAAATTTTCAAAAATGAAAAGAATAAATCAAAATGGCATTTATGTCATGTCATTCAGAGCCTTTAGTACTAACAGTATAAACGTTAAAACAAAAAAATTGCTGCTTTTGGATAAGTGAAACGTTAAAAAAAGTTGCTCTTATTTCACTAAATATTGCGCGAAATTTTTCAAAAAAATTAACGTGAAGTTAATTAAATAAAAAATTGAGGAGATATAATATAATTTGACGAAATAATCTTTGTCTTCATTAATATGGATGTAAGAGACAGAACAAAAAATATAATTTTTTTGCTTAATTTGAAAAATCAGCTTTAACTGTGAAATTCGGATCTTTGGCATCTTAATAAGTGTATTTACCCTGTTTTTACGAAAAGAACAAAAAACTGGAGCCATTTTTGAAATAATTTTAGAAATATCCGAGGGGATTCTTGTGAATTACTCTCAAAATATAAAGAATTCTTTCCTAAATCGCAGGGCTTTAAGTCAAGCCAGATCTATCAGGGAATATTCGTTTTTGGCAAAAATCCTACCAGTAGTTTACGTGCAAGTGTTGTTTTTTACAGTCGGGCGGACAGACTGAGATACATTTTGAAAATAACCGCTTTCTCGGTATTAAGGAGCCACCAAGTGTGAATTCTGACTGGGCCCCTTATTAGAAATGGTAATTTGTGAAATATATGTGCAAGAAAAATCCTCGTTTACAGTATCAGGGAGTCACAAAAAGTATTTTGTCTCGAAAAACAACTCTTTTCGCCTCAGCATTACATAACTTTCTCTATTCTACGAATAATTATTCCGAATATACGTACTTATACGAAAAAGTAAAATTGTCAGGTAAAAGGAAAAATTATTTCATGGATTCAAAATATTAATAGAAAAAATGATTCCTCGCGTACGGCAATAGGGCCCATTTGAAAATATTCGCTAGTTCCACAGCCCCCAATGTATGTATTGAATGAATACAACGAACTTTGAAATGAAACTACGACCTCTCACAGCTCAACAAGACTTGAATGTCCTTTATTGTATAAAAATGAACACGCGCCACGCTAGCTATCTGAGAAGAAACACTTCACCTGTCTCACTCCGACTGCCGCATCAGGACCCTTTATTAATTTAAATAAGATAAGAATAGAATATAAAATTATTTTACACATGTTTATGAACAATAAATCTGAGAATATTTTTTGTAAAATTGGCGATTCACCAACAGCAGTAGAGTGAAGACAGTTAAAGAAAACATCAACTCAAAATTTAATAACACTAGTAAAAACACTTAAGATTAAATTGCACGGAGGGTTTAAAGCCAAATTTAATTTTGTTTGACCGGGTATTTATTTATAATACGCATCTATTCGATAGGAAAAATAATGAATTCTGCCTATAGTATTTCACCGCTCTGTCTTGCCCTGCCTTGCGCTATACTGCACAAATCGACCCTACTTCTATCCACACTCCTCGTTCTGTGCTGCGTCGCCTGACCCAGCTCTTGACCACCTTACTCTACTATGTTCATTACGATCACCGTTGCTGTCGTCCGGAAAACTCCACACCAATTCAAAAAAAACACACTTTGAAAAACTCAAATGCATCTTCAAACTGCATTGAATTGCATAATCGAACATTGCGCACAAAAGATGTCAGCGACTTCGATTCCATGGTACCTCCGAAACTAAATAAACTTACGTTTCCACCAGATTGTGCTTGATGTGGACAATTCAATTTTTTATCTTATTAATACATTATACAGCATATACAAACATGTAAGTTACACAAGCAGTTATCGGAGACTTTGAAAGCAACACTTCTTTTATGTAATAGAAATTAAATGATTAGATGTTTTGTCTTTGCCAACAATATTGTTGGCTAAGAAAACGCTCTAATTATTTTATTTGGAATGCCTACGACAAATCACAGCTCAACCAATATTACAGTGATAAATTGAGTAGTTCATTCGGAAAAGGGATTTTTACGTACTACGTTTAGAATTAATAATATGATGCGGGGTTCAATCCTGTGCCAGCCATCCTGGCCGCAGTTTTCATGGTTTCTCTCGGTTATCCAGGCGAATGCTGGGATAGTTCTACTGAAAGGCCAAGTCGCTAGCCAAATTCGTTAACTACCTGAAATCACGAAGGTTAAGCGAATTCGAGACATCGCGGTTTCCTGGATGGGTGACTGACTAGGAACCCCGATATCTAACGGTACCGCGGCCAAATGCCCTTTACGGTACATATAATGGCTAAATACAAATACGATGCGTTTTTTTTTCAAATTGTAATGGCTTAATAAAAATCCGGCCGATCGCATGCACCTCGTGTATTACTCGCGCAGTTTTTCTTGACACATGAGCACCCAGCGCTGAATAGCACGGCACGTTGAGATACTTAGGTTCGACTCGGAATGGCACGTACCAATGTACAATGCTGGCAACAACCACTTTGTACTTTCAATCCCAGCACTTGTCGTGGCACGCTTTGGGGCCTTCAGCTTATGCCCACAGTTGGTACGCCCTTTAAACCGTGACGTAGCCATAGTCCTTCTCTCCCCGCATCCCCCGCTGTGAAATATCGAGAAAACTTGCGCATATAGCACTCGCCTCAACGCGCGTGGCGGCGGTGGCGAAGCGGCGCCGGGGGGCCGAGCTGCAGGACGTCGCGGCCGCGAGGGTGCGCGCCGCGCGGCTCAAGCTGGTCACTGCGCTGCTCATCGTTGCGGTTGCTCTCGCCTACGTGGGGTCCGGACGCAACGCTCGCTGGACAAAATGGCGGCTCGGCGAGGTGTGGTCAGGACTCGAGCTATGAGCAGCGGCCTGTACAGGAACAACAAAATGTCTCTGAACGAGACAAACACAAAGAAACGAAAGTACTGGTGCTACAACATAGAATTTCTCGCGTTATTTCTAAATTTGCAATTTTCCAAAATTCAGGGAGTTCAACGAAAATGAAACCTGCGCCATTAATTTGAGCGTTCCTTGTTCTATTCGAAAAAAATGGTTCGATTTTTGAGAAAATTTTGTTTTTTATAAATAGCTTTATTTTGCAGCACAAATTATGGGAAAAGATTCGTTTTTCAAAAAATGGTTCTTGATCTTTTTAAAAAGCTACTTTCTAGGACAGATTATGTTTAAGGCAAAAATCTCTATCGTCAATTTTGTAGTTTTGAAATGTTAACATTTTTCAATTTTCGAAAATACTCGGAAATGACACTAACACCAACTTTTTTGCTGTTTTCAGAGATACGAAGAGGAAATTTAAAGAAAACTAGTGGTACTAAAACAGCACAAACTTTCTCGCCATTGGTAATGGTTATTTTATTGATACCACAATTTCTTTCAGGAATTTCAACGAAAATGTACCATCTTAGGCGTCATTTACGCAGTGGCGGCTGCGGCAGGGAGGCACTAGGGACACTGCCCCCTACTGAGATCAGTATTTCTTCTCTTGCGCTGTCTAAAATAATCTCTGTGGGTCTGTAGGGTTGTTTTCGAAACGAACGCATCTTTGCTTTCAAACTCCCGCTTGTACCGCAGAACGATTGTCATTGGCTGCGGACACTCGCCTCTGTGTCCTAAACGCAGTGTTGTTAAGGAACGTACTGACATAAAAATGGCCGACAACGAGTGCTCGAATGGCAACGTAGGTTTGGCAAATAGCGTCTTGTGACGGCCGCTGCCCAGCAGCCTGACAGGGGAGGTAGCAACCTCGTTGCCCGGCGCTATCCATCGATCGATTTTTAAACTTACAATACTTCTTTCGCTTGATTTACGTCCAAGCCAGTGCTATTATTGCCAGTATTCTGTTTAACTGATCTCCCTTTTCGCAAACATTCAGTACAGGTAGGAGTGTGCAATCGGCATGGTCGGTATCATCTTTCCGCTCCGTAGACAAACTATGCGAATGCTGTGTTCCAAAGGAAATTTCAAAGGGGTAAGTTTAGGAGGAATTTATCCACGTGTTCTCTCTTTGATTGTAAAACGTTCCAACAATATCAAGATAAATTTCCCCTAGAAAAGGTTGATCGCGTTTCACAGTTCTCTCCGTTCGTGAGCTAGCAAACTGAAATCTGAGCTGAATGTGCTATATAAAAGAATCCGAGAGAGCTTTTGCCACTTTGAAAAGATTATAGACATTTTAAAGAAATACCATGTCGGAAGAGAGATTGAATGGACTTTGTATGTTTTCATAATAAAGAGTTTTATTACGACACTCAATTAATTTTAAAGAATTATTAACAGATTTACAGAATGTAAAAACAGAAGACTCAATTTAATTTATAGATCGTGGGTTTAGCATGTCTTTCGGGGAGAAACTTCTATTGTAAAAATTACTTGTGTGACTTAAACAATCCAAATATAACAATATTTCAAATGCCTAACTTTATTTGATCATGTAACTTTGTGTGCCCTCCCTGATGCCTAATCCCAGAGCCGCCACTGACTCGGAGAATGAACTTTATTTAAACATTTTGTAGTCATTTTTGTAACAATTTTGAAAATGTTTGAGCCTTCATTTTAAAAAATTAAAATTCAAATATCACATTTATATATACTCTTCATTGTGTTTGCGATTAGAATTGCTTCAAATTGTATTCAATAAAGTTCCTGTAATTCTCAATTATTTTCTGTGGAAACAGAAAATTGAGACAAATAATATTCACCGGCCTAGACTCGAAGCAGTGGACTTCCTCTTCTGAGAGCTGAGTTTGTAAACACCAATTAGCCACCCCAGCCACCTGAGTAGAATGTAATAAACACACTTATATAATAGTAATAAGCGCATGGTAGTTTCAGTTCTAGCATTAGGAAGCCTAAAATCGAGAAAATGTGGGGAAAAAGTCCTTTGGGCGATCAAAGAAAGTATCTGGGAAGAGAATCAGTCGAACTGAAATCCTAGTTCAGACTAAAGAGAGTATAAAACTAAACACTACGAGAAAGTCCGTGCCATTTTATAGCACCACTAGTTTATTAATTTAATTATTTATTTCTTTATTTTTATTTATTTATTTGTTTATTTATTTATTTAAAAACCTAATTTTCTACAACACCCTTTTGCGTAGGCAAAATATCTTCAATTTTGTAGTTTAGATGTTTTTTTGCAATTTTCAAAATAAACGGGATGTTAGCAAAAATGAGATCTAAACCATTCTCTTAAACGTCCTTTGCACTATTCAACAACAAAATTATATAAAAAAAATTGGATCCGTTTTTGAGAAAATTTGAAAATATGTTTAAGGCTTCATGTAAAGTACCCTCAAAAATCAAAATATCCGTTTGAAACTCCCAGCCACCAGTTCATTCAGATCGATTGAGGAATATCAATTATAAAGAAAAGCGGCTGAACGGTTCAGGCGCTAGCGTAGATCACAGACGGACATACAGACGTTTTTCTTGTTTTTTTTTCAATTTGTTGCGTCTTTAATATTTAAAAACGACAATTATTGACCCAACAATTAAAGCCCCTGGAGTGGCGTTACATTATTTGTTATTGTATGCCACGTCCCGTCGCAATCAGTTATCATGAGGACTGACAGGTAGCATCTCCGCGTACGCGCCTTCTACCTCGCGTCCCTTCACAACCCAGCGGCCAGAATTGGGAAGGAATTGGGATTAGGGTAGGATTTAGGACACTTCGCAGTGGTTGGACTAGTCCTTATGAAGCAGCCAAACTGGAGCAATTTTCTCATGAGGTGGTCCAGCATTCGACGGGAATCGAACCCGGGTGTTTTTGGTGAAAGGTGAGTTAGAGGATTTTCTGGCACACGATTACATAACTTTCTCTTCTTAAGAAGAATTCGTACGGCGAGAAAGTTTAAATTAAAAAAATTAAAAAAAAGAACAAATCCAGCAGGATAGTAGCGTAAATATTTTAAGAATTAGTACCAGAAAAATATCGCTGGAGTCTTCTATACGGGGTAACTGGTTACGAGCAAAATATAAATTAAGTTGTACATTCTCACGATCATTAATATTTTTTATTGGAGGGCCGTAACGAATTGGAGAATAGAGAAGCCTCAGTTCGCCTAGTGGATAGACGATAACTTTCCACCTTTCTATTGTTTTCTCAACCTAACAACTTTTTTCTAGCTATGATTGATCATTGTCTTATTAATTGAAGTAGCTTTACTCATTTTAATTCAATGAACAAATGTTTGATAAATGTTTGACTTAAGTGAGCTATTGAACGTACTATTTTTTACTCCCCTGTCACCTTATTAAGGAGTTCTATTATTAATATAAAAATTAAGATATAAATATTGTTAGCGGAGAGTAATTTTTCATTTTTCTAAATAAAATCTCTATTATAAAAAAATGTCCGTAATTTTTCTCCTGTCTATGCTTAGAGTCCCCTTGTAGCCCCGACTGTAGTAACAGCACTGTTTTATTCTTTAAACATTTAAAATTTATTTTATACCACAACATGATAGACAAAATGTCAAACTAATTATGACTCATTCTTACACACGACAATATGTTAATAAAACTTTCAATTACTTTTAATGTTTGAAGTTGTATTTATCGTCAAAAAAATTAATAACTGTAAGTGACGTACGGGGGATGAGTATAATGAATATATTGTTATAGAACTAGGTGAACTCAAATAGATAACCCTTAAAGTTCATTAAAAATAAAATTAATTAAAAAGACGATTTGATATCATTTCTTAAAAACGATTAAATTAATAATCTGCACAACAAAGTACTTACAGTATAACAATATTTTGTCAGGATTCATTAGATGTATAAAGAGTATTTACTTTACTTATGAATTGTATTTGGGCTCTTGACGGCGAGGAGAATGAGCTCTGAGGACAGAGAAAACTTTAATGCGTAACTGATTCCAATGCTGCATTAATATGGACAAGTTGCGAATATAGCTCGCAAATGTGACGCTAAAAATTTATGAGAACCTTTATCGCTTTAATGCCCCCATTGTTATTCCTCTTCTTAGGAGTGCAATTCAGTTTGACATCTTGCTGGATTCATCCAACGTTGCTTCACTCCAGTCGGTGAAATAGTGAAGGTGCACTTTCCGTGTGTATAAAGAAATCGTCAAAAATTATTCTCTTAATACGGTGAGTAAACTGATATGAAACATTTACAGAAACAATTCAAGAATAATGCGCATTTTAACAATATTTATAACGATTTATGTCATTCCATCAATATTATTTCGTACAAGTCTTAATATTTATTTTATATTTCTGATAAAAGTTACTTTTTTTCTTTTGGTAACCAGTGGAAAACAATTGCAACAATATACACAACCGTTTTGTGTCTCAAACCATGGTCTTCTTGGCCTTTGGAGCGTTAGTATGTATAAAATATTAACTCGCTGGGATTTCACAGCACTTTAAATACGACTTCTTAACACACGGCGATATAGTTAAAAGTTAATACAATCCTTAAGTCCCTGTAAGTATGGTCAAAACTTACTCTTCAGGTATGCTGATGCCAGCAATGCGTGCTCTTTTTCCCTCAGAACGTTTGTGTCTTTAATTTATGTAAGCATTGAGGAATCATTAACATTGTTTCTAATTTAATAGTATTGTAGTACATTAGTATCAATTGAAAATACAATGTTCACGGAGAAAAAAGCTTTTTTAAAGTTTGAATAGACCGCCAAATTGGCAAACCAGAATAAAGATAATGATTTATTAGGAAATATTTTTTTGAAATTGTGCCTTATAAATGAATGTAATTAATTCGTTGAATTTTTTTTCGCTAATCGACAGATAGTATAATCATAGCAATTCTTATTTTCTAGTTATGATCTATCTATGCACTTAAAATAAATGAATGAGTATAGTAGAATGCATTAGAAATAATAGACGTGTCAATGTAAGTGTCCGTACCCGAACATCTATTGAAAGAATATAGCTCTGCCATCGAATCATATGGTAGGAACGTCATGGAATAATTTCTGATCTCGCCCCTCTCACTTTACTCCACGTGCAAGGAGTACAGGTATTGACACGCTAGTAGTGTAGGCAAGTTCATCATCGAAGGCGGTGGCCGAAGAGGATTAGTGTTTCTCGAACTGATTGTGATCACATTCTCATATTGGGAGCATAGCAGAAAACTAGGTAATGGTTGTGTGAATGTTCACTTCTCGAGTTCAAGTTCATCTAACTCGTCATAAAGGGGCGGGGCATGCACAAATTTTCTAAGAATAGATTTTGTGTAAAATGGAAATTTTTGTCTTCATGTGGTTGAATTTGGGACGAAATTTTGTTAGAAGGTGTTCCTTCATCAACATTTAAGTGTTTTCAATGAAATCAATAACGTCTGACGTCTTTGCAGAATTTTGACTATACTTTTTATATTAGCACGTGGGTCAGAATTGTTCAGATTGATGTAACTTGTAGATCGGATAACTCGCTCCGTTAGTTTCAATGTATTCTTCAGATTTGATTCAGGAATATCGGAACATACGTGTACAATTTTAAAGAAGTACATATGGGTGTATTTTAACCCTCTTAAATATTTGTTTTGTACATTTTCATGAGTTTCGCATGCTAGCGAGAAACATTACACTTAATTCCGTAAAATCTACTGTTCCGATTTGGTTCACAGAAGTTAGGTTGTAGTAATATTTTAGTGTGTGTGTCTTAAGTGTACATTTGTATGGTCTATATTTATAGGTGCTAAAATGGCATCAAAAGTGGTGGAAAATGGCACTGAAGGCTGGAAAGCACATAGTCTGCCTCCAGGAGATTATCATTTAATTGGTTGGGATGTTGATACTACAGGAAGAAGGCTTGTAGATGAAATATGCCAGATAGCGGCCTATACTCCGACTGATAATTTTTCACAGTATGTGATGCCATTTCAAGAACTTAATCCTGCTGCACGACGAAGGCATAACATTAGAGTAGTTACTATTGGTCGTTTTAGAATGTTAAAGGACTCTAAGACAAATAAGGTTTGCATTTAATGGTCTTCGTGAATGAGTGTCAATAAGTTAATAGAAGCAGTAGTTTAACATATATTTGATTTCAGGTGTTGAAAACTAAAAGTGAAATATCTGCTCTAACAGACTTTGTGCAATGGCTAGAGGGAGTGAAAGGAAAGTCAAGTGATGGAGTTATTCTTGTTAGCCATGAATCACGCAAAGTAGCTGCACCTCTTCTCTTGGAAGCTCTTCGCAAATATAATATGTTAGATAAATTTAGCTCTGTTGTCAAAGGCTTTGCTAATGGCTACAATGTCGCTGAAGTGAAATGTGCTAAGACTATTCGATCATTTTCACTAAGAACCCTGTCTAGAGTTCTTCTGGATAAAGATGAAGAACTGGACAGTGCAGTTGACAGAGCTCGTCTTTCTTTTCAGGTATGATTTATAAATTAAGATAATTTAATTATAGGGTGTACATTTTCTATTAATTTGAACATTTTTGTAGATTGTCCAACACCTCTGTGGAGGAGAAGAAAGACAAGGAAGTGGTGATGGAGATGAAACAACTGCTCCAGGTCTTGTGCTAGCCATTAGCGAATTTACTCAGACTATAGCACAGGAAGAAGAAGAACTTGCTAGAGTCAAAACTGTCTTGGATCGTCAGAATTCACTACGTCCTGTGTTTGCACCAATGCTTAGACGAGAAAAAAATCGTGCTGTTAACATCCGAAAACTAGTGGCAGAATCTGGAATTGACTATGATATGTTGACCAGTACTTTCAAGCTGAAGGGTAATGAAGGAATTTGCGAGTTGATTAGTTCTAAACTTCCTCGTGCCAGGGCAAAGGATGTAGAAGATTTGAAAAATCTATTAAAGGAGCATTTTGAAGGAGAAAATAACAAACCAGGAGAAAACAAACCTCTGCCACAGAGGACCAAACCTACGTCAGCCTCAAATACTGCATCACAACCAAATTCAACTGCAAATGACAGTGTAGTACCTGTTGTATCATCTACTCAAGAGACTACTGTACCACTTTCAGCTCCATCCTCTACTTCAACTTTGACTTCAAATCCTAATTCGACTCCTGTTTTCACTCCATCTTTGCCTGCTCCTACTTCAACTCCTGGCCAAGAGTTGGCATCAAACCCATCTCCCACCCCATCAACTCAGACATCAGTTCCAGCACCTAACATTACTCCTACTCCATTGTCATCTCCAGCTTCCTCGGGAGATGTGCCTCCTGCTCCTATTGTAAATGAAACTTCAAAACCAGCGGAACCTGTTGAGAAGAAAGAAACTAATCCTGTCAGCTCTCCTGACTCTACCACAAAGAATTCTTCTTCTTCAGAGCCCCTTGTAAAAACTGAGTCAAATTCAAAACCTGTATCAGCTTCCAAAGAGTCTGATGCCACTTCACCTAATAATCCATCAGAAGCTGTTGCATCCTAAATTATCATTTTGAGAGTCAGTGAATGAGTGCCTTATTTTCCAGGGATGACAGTTTGTTTTGTTTTATGCCAGTGTTGCCTTATAAAATTATAATTTTGAATAAGTAAACACCACGTAATTAATTTATAATAATTTGCTGTAAGTCACTAATTTTCTGTCAAGGCATAACGTCAGCTAAATGTTTCAACCAATTTGCAATATGTATATTGTGCAATGCCAAAGGCGTACTTGAGTTTATTTTATTTAATGCTAAAGTTTATTTCCATTGATGCCTAAGGCATGATTGGTTTTGTTTTTGTTAGCCAAAGGTGTAAAGAATTTTATTTTATAATGCCAAAGGCATAAATTGTAAAGCTAAAGCTTCTTTCATCTTCATGCATTTCGGGCAGACAGCTCCCCCAAACTTTTATTTTCCTTGAAGAGGTATTCCCTTAATATCTGAATCCTTAGTTTTCTGTACATTTTCATTCTGATAAATCGATCTCATTGTAAAAAAACATTTAATGATGTTAACTTGTATATACAACTTTGATGCTTATATTCTTTGTAAATCAAAGATGTTTTGTTATGTAATAACTTATGAAATTCAGTGTGATTAATCTTCTCACTTAAGTTAAAACATTGATGCTACAGTTTGTATATTAGCCTTACCATGTAAAATTTGATTTAAAAGTATGTGAAGATTGATACCAAGAAGTGGAAGAAAAAATCATGAATTTTTTGTTAAGTTTCTGAGGTGAATGTTTTATACTCTTACTATCGTGTATTATTGTGTTCAAAATTGACTTGGAACAAGATGTAGCAGTATTATATCAACATTCAGACGTATTGTCATTAGGTACGGGTACGTACAAAATTTAACAAAACCTTTGTTCTCTAGAATATGCAAGTAAAAACTGCATGGTTTTGAGGTTTTGAAGGCATTTATTCTGTATGGCAGACTTAACTTAGAAATTACTTGTATGAGACTTTCACATAAAGTTATTTATTTCTTATTTCAATAAATTTGTCAAGAAAGGCAACATATCAGTGTGTTTTTCTTGAAAATACCTTAAATAATTCTAGAGCTTTTCCAGTCCTTGTCATTTTAAATACTATTTCTTGGACAAGCAAATGCTTCTTCCTTGAATCATTTACTTGAATGGGCAATAATTTTAAAGAATTTGTTCATGACAGGCAATTATTCGTTTGAAAATTTCTTATAATAAAAAACAAAAACTGAATAGGAGGCCATTCTATTTAATTATCGTTTTCTCATAAATGGGCTATGGAAAGGTTCTTGGAAGCAGCATGTGTGTATTTATCACCTAAAAGCATATAGAGGCTTCACCCTAAAACTTGGTAAAGATTTTAGCTTTAATAAAAAATGATTCGCTAATTATTTCAGTAGTTCTTTTTATTTTTGAATGTAGAATTTAAAGTACAAAGTTTGTTAGCAACTATTTCTTAAAAAAAAAAAAAGTTTCCAGCATCTTGTTTTAAATGATTTTTCTTAATTGGAAGTCTTCATTCCTTTATCCTTTTTTTGTAAGTATCATTCATCTCTCTTGTTTCTTCTGTTCAGTTAGTCTTTCGAAGTTCTTTTCGTTCTCTGTGATGTAATCTTTTAAAACTTGACGTAATTAAAAAAGAAATTATTGTTTCCATTTGACATCTTGCGACTTACTTAGGGCAGTTTTATGAAAAGTGGGGAGAATATTATTGGTATTACTACTTGTTTTCTCCTTCACATTCGTGGCTTTTTAAAACATCGTTATCAAATTGGTACTGGTATTTTCTTCAATGTTGAAAACTTATGTTAGTGGAAGTAATTTTGAGGAATCCTTTTCATATTTTTCAGCAAGAAAGTTAATTTTCATCATAGTTCTTATGCTTTCTGCTGGAAAACATAATTTGAATATATACAAATGTAGTTGTCAAAGACTCTACTGCTTCTACAATTCTATGAAATAAGTAGAATTTTAATTGATGGGTTATAAAGAGGATTTGATTTATCATGTTCTTTTAAAATATTTTTATTGCTTCTAACTTCCATAATATGCCAAATTACTTCAGATGTATTCAGGAAAATATTTCATGATGAAATGTTACATTAAAGTTACTCACTTAATGAAACCTATTTTTGCAAGTCTGCATCTATGAATCTCAAATATTATTCTCTCCACACTGAAGAAAATGTTTGCAGATGGAGGCCATTCCAATAAAATTTTCTGATCTCCACCTGGTATGCCCAAAGAGACTTTCAATTGGGAATAAAATAATTAATTTTACACCTTTCTAAGCATTAATTATTCCTATTTCAGATCCCCTTGTTTGATCAAAAGAATCAAACAAGAGAATTGTTTTTACTGTTTTTTATTCCTCTCTGGTAATTGTATAAGATCTGTGGACTATTTACAGGGCTTGAAAAGCTTGTGGGTTGAAGTAATGACTTTTGAAAATTTTCTTCTTCAGAAAGCTAAGAATCCCAGAATGTTATTTCTGTGTGAGTGGTACCTCTGAAGTTCAGTTGCTACATGCTTAAATCTTTGCACCACTTTTTTAGCTTCAATTTTTTTTCTTGTGCAGAAATAAAGGACCCAGGGAAAGATTATGCTAACTCTCTCTCCATAGATCCAAAATGAAAAGACCTGGAAACTACAAAATCTAACATTATGGAAGGAACACTGGTCAAGAATGTTCATAGAACTACAGTGTGCAAAGAAAGCGACATGCAGTGAATATAGATATTAAGACATCTGAATTTACAAAAACTCTAATTTTCCTGTCTGACAATAATTATAGAAATGAGATTTACCAGTTAGCGCTATTTTGCCCCAACACCATTTTAATTTTCCCTTCCTTCTCTACAAAAATAGCATTTGCAATATTGGATTTTTGCAATCGCTGAACTTTTCCTACTGCAATGCCAGTCATCTTTTCCATTTATAGAAATGTGCTTGTGGTAGATATATCCATTTAATATATTTTTTTCACCTTGTGGCTGAGACTACAATTTGTGATTTTATTGACATTTTGAGTATTTGAAATTTCTTGTTCAAATCTTATCTACAAAACTATGTGTGCATTGTCATTTTTATACAGTCAAACCATAGATGAACATAGCCAAACCTAGATGGAGGCTTGTAACTTCTGGTTTTTGTGAGCTTATTGTTGGAAGTATAGAATGAAAGATATCAGTGGAAAGATATAGGATATCAGTGGGAAAATTAAATTTAAGACAATGAGGATTGGGAAAAGAATGCAAGAATAGCAATAGAAATATTAATTGTGAAAAAGTGATTTGATTCAAACAGTTTTGGGGTAAATTAAGTGGGGAAACAATATTTTCACAGTTGAAAATGAGACATTCTTAATTAGTGCAGAAAATTGTAATCAATTACATTGTATAGGAATTAAGTGTTTGACAATATAATTTGACTACCCCAAAGCTGACAAATATTAAATTGAAGTTAAATTGTTGTATCTTCAATATGCTGAAGGAAGTATAAGCTAAAACTGAAGCACGAAGATAGAATGATGGTTATTCTGCTAGAAAATTTATGTATTCTTATGAAATGATTTGTTGCATTTAAGCTATTGAATGAAAAGGAGTGATAACAAAAGAAAACTTCTGTTAGGTGTCTTATGGAATGTAATTTCCCATCATAATAGTAGAAATTATTAATGTGAATAGTTCATGAAAATTGTAAGTAAAATTGTATTGTTGGAAATATATACATAAAAAATATATGAATAGAATCTAGGGTAAAGATCTCAACCTCTGAAAACAAGATAGTACCTGATACTCTTGAGTGTTAAGAAATTTATTGAGTATCACTTCAGTGAAGCCGATTTGTGATTTCACTTCAAAGAAATTGTTTCTTTGTAGTTGAATTATTTATTCTTTTTCACAAATTTAAGCTAGGAAGCCATCTAAATAAATTGCTTAACTTATGTCAAAAACCCCACATTCATGGAAAAAATTATTCCTGATAGTACAATCTATTTTTGAAACATTTTTCTAAGTCAGATGTCATATATGTACCTAATATTGATACTCTTTAGAGCTGAAAACCGTTTGAAGAATGGTTTGCGTCAGAAAGGATTTGATTAGTAATTTAAACATTTTGCTAGTAATTATGTGCCTATTCCCCATTAAAATTTTGTAACTTAATGGATGTGTCATGTTAAGCATAGAATTCAATGTATGGTTTTAGAATTATAGGTCTCAATGTCATTCAATTCTTAATATATCATTAAAGATGGCCAAGTCTTGCATCTTGGCAATTGAAGAATCTGGCCAAAAATATTTCTGTGATGTTCGAAGTGTAAGTAATGAAGGAACAGGATAAGGGTCACTATTTCCCACTTGAACAGCAGGCAGAGGTTTATGAAGGAACACTTTCCAAGGTTTATGAGCTTTTAAATTGGAATTCAGTTTCTCTTCAGAAATTTTCTGGATATCTGAAATAAGAAGTCAATATCAATTTAAACTAAAACAAACAATTTTCAAGTCAAATTATATTAGGCACAATTTTATGGGTGTATTTTGTTATTTTTTTTATCAGGAAAAACATGATTAATATGCTGTACTAGCCGCAAAAAAAGTTAGTTTTGTATTTATGAAGACATTGTTTGCTTAGATGTATATGTATGTTAATTTTAACTTTGACAAATCTATTAATCAAACATGAAAAGTGAGTAAATTTCCTAAACTTCCAATAAAGAAATCATTGTTAAGGAATTTACAATTAAAGCATTAGTGATTATTCAAATAACTTTTTTAACTGCTTTTCTGAAATAATTAAATGAGTTGCTGCAAAATTGATGTTAAAACTCAATGTGAACATTATGCTTTAACCAGTGTTTCTGCTCAAAAGGGTTGTAAACTACCATAAGTAGTAGTAGTAAGTACGACCATGTGGATCATTTACAAGGCTCAGCTTTCAAACCATTTCTGTTTCATCATAATTCTTTGCTGATGTTCAGTCATGCTGGACTTCTTCAAAACTATTACAATTTTTTACGTTGACTCATTTGTTACATGATATTAAATGGCAAAAAGGTTGATAATTACCTGAATTTTGAAGCACCGTCTTTAATATGTAATATATATAATTTTTTATTAGTTCTGTGATTGAAAATTAAAGTTTAAGGTTACTTAAAAAATTATTACAGCTCTGGAGAGTTTCAGCATGACGGGACAAAATGTAAGCAAAGAATTAAAATAAAACAATAATTCTTTGAAAGCTGAAACTTGTATTTGGTTCATTAGGTCACACCTTTTAAATTTATTGCTTAATTATCACTGGGCCAATCAGCAAAAATATAAAACAGAATCTAAACTACTACGTTTTCATTAGTATTCCTGGTTGTATTGGATAATTAAAATGCAATTGATAGGGACATTAATTGTAACTAAGATATATTGCACAATTTATGAACTCTGCTTTTAAGTGATATTTTTAATACTATGTAGAGATGGTGCAGCTAGAAACGTATTTTTGGCCAAATGTTTTTCTTTTGTGGTTCCCAAAATCATGAACAAAATATAAACATTTTTGTGTTTACACACATGTGTTTTATATTTTTGCTGATTGGCCCAATGATAATTAAGCAATAAATTTAATAGTTGTGACCTAATGGTCCAAATACAAGTTTCAGCTTTCAAAACATTATTATTTTGCAAATTAACTTGTAGCAAAACTGCAGTTACTTGAAAATATTTCTTCTATCTGCATATTTCCCTGCTAACTATCAGTCAAAGTTATGTTTAGGGTGATTAGGGTTCAGGTTCTACATCTTAACAATCATTCTTTGCATTTAAAATCTGCATGAATTCCTTGAGTAATGTACCATGTGTTATGCATGTCAAGGCAGTTCACATATTATTTTGACTGTGCAAATTGAAAGTGATTGAATTACTGATTGAAAGTGTATTTTTCTCTTAAACTCATAAGAATATTACATTAATGCGGAAACAATTTACTTAGGTGGGTTGCCTCCCGTCTCTGCAAACTGCTAATACCTCTTCCAATAAACAGATGCA